GCTTCTATTTTGGCCACGGGGCTACGCCATGCTTGTTTTTATGATATTGAAATCCATGAAATTTCAATATGGATACTTAGTCGTGAGGAGTGTCTCATCCAGAGAAAGCAAATTACAACATTTTTTATAGAATCTAACTTAACACGGGTGTATGTTAGAATTTGGGTACCGTGGAGTTGCAGATATGTTTATTATTTGATCGACGTATTGGGGTTTAGGTAAATTTTTGGATATTTTAAGCGATTGGTAATATCGGGTTTTTGTAATTAAAGTAAATTGCGGATTAGTGGGTTTACTGCTCAGTGAGATAGTTCCGGGAGGCAGGACATGCGGATTTCGGGCCGGTAAGCAACTTACGGGGCTTCTTGCAGCATGGGTTTTTATTGTTTAGCAATTGCTTCAAGTTAACGAGTCTTTGATTTAATTTAAGACAATTTTTACCACACGCTGCGCCTCGGCCCACGCACAGCACGCATTGCACGCAAACGCCCATCTCAACCGCTGGTTTTCATTCCGGCACCACGTTCGACTCCTTGCTATTTCTCGTATTGTCAACTGTCACTTGGTCAAGACGCTAAATGGCCCCTTCTTACGGTCCACTTACTTTTTTCAATAAGATAGATTTAGAACGTCTTTTAACCTTTATACAGTCATGGAAGCCTTGCCAACCCCCTGAAAACCAAGCTAGTGTTTTAGTGACAGCACGATCACAATGCACCACAGCACGCACGGCACGGGGCACGGCCGCACCGCCCACCCGCACGGCACTTGCAATGGTCCTGCACGGGCCGTAGGCTAAACACACGCACGCACGGCACGCACACACACACCACACCGCAGCGGACGACGCACCACGCAGACCACACCAAATCAAACTAATTCTAATATTCGTTTTTCAGTGCTTGAATCGCAGGACATAGGCCGATACAGAGCGGTAAGGGGGGGGCCACCACAGACACGCGAAGCGCACCCCACACCCATCCACAAATTGGGACCAATGGATGATGTAGCGCGCCGGGCTTGGGCCTATATGATCGGGCGGAGTACACACGGTAATACATTGGGGGACGGAAAATTACAGACTACGACTTTGGGTCAGAAGGAGCCCCGTCATGAACAACAGGGGATCAGTACGGGCAGGATTCATAAAACAAGGGCCGCATTCAGACTCTGGATTCACAGTTTCTATTACCGATGCAGATTCACAGTATTGTACACGACCTGAATAAGCAATGTAAAAGTGGGAAATGAAATGCCGCTGTGGTCCCACCCACACACCCAAATGCCCGATTCTTGATGCACATGATTTTTCGAAGAAGGGGTGTACCTTCAATTGGACGGCAGACTCACTCAATCCATGCTGTTCGGGACCGGGGAACATTGCACACCCACAGGGTCATGATTTGCACCGGCATCCCCACAGCCTCCCATGATGAGGCCAGCAGCCCGCCACTTGATTTGGCAGGATCACAGGTTCATCGGACGCAGGATTTGCACAGCCTCGACTGCCCGCTTGTGGATACACGGCATGACGCAGATCACATTCAATATCGTGACGCTTCATGATCATACAAGTCTTCGTGACCGCTAAATTCCAGTCATTTGGTCGCTTAAGACGGCCTCTCAAATTTTACCATGCAATGGTCCGCTGGTTTTCACTAGTGTGCCCTCGACAATTGCGCAGCGACCAGTAGCGGCAGATAATAATTAATAGAATATAAAAGATAACGACAAATCATCATTTGAGAGTAATTATTTTATTTACATTCATGTACATTACTAGGTTTCTAATCTGGCCCATACGCGGAAGCCCACTGGTAATCATATATTCACTGCGTACTTAACGGCTATATTGTTTAGCATTAGTGCGGTGTGCCGAAGCCGCATTCCGTTAGATACGCTGGTCGTGTGTAACTCAGACGCGCCTTTCGGGCGGAGTTCTTTTTCTAACTAAGGGGCGGACGACTTCTCACACGTGCTCCCTAGGTTATTGAATACGCGCGCTATTTGTTGAATATGTCATAGTGGACCGGGGGTAACCTTTGGTGACCCCAGGGGCCAATCGTTCCGGTAGTTACCCGCTCAGACGATTGCGAATCATACCGGCCAAACAGGCGGGAAGCACAGGATCGGATCCACAACATAGTGGAAAAATCAAGATGAGCGCGCAACGCGGGATAGTGCGGGCTATACCGGGACGAGGATGTTGGAGTCACAAGCAGTTCGGAGAAGGGCGAAGTTTATGGGGGGCCGATGGGCTGAGCACTCTCAATGATCACTGCAGAGAGGTAAACAAAAGGTATTGAGTTGTGGTATACCTCCAGTGGTAAATAAGTTCTTACGATAGCTTCGTGGAGCCCCTTCGGTTGCTCCTAATCATCAGCTGGTCTGGTAAACTTTAAATGTACGAGAAAATTATTCTTAGTGTGTAAGACGGAGCATCAATGACTACATTATATGCCACTTCTAGAAAACAATCAAGTTGCTCAACATTTAGAGGTATTTTGTTTCACGATCTTATCCTAATGTTGATCAATTATCAAAGTCGGCATACATTGGTATAAGCCTCCGCACGCCCTCTTTTTTTTCCTTGCGGCCTTTCACGACTCTTTTTCCTCTTTCGCTAACACTGGAACATACAATTACTATGCAGTGCTCGGGAAGAGCACTGGGAGAGGAATGACGGCTTATACCCAGAAACGGATGGATCGCAACTATTCTTAGAACAACATGTTTGGCGGCACACGTAAGGCGCCACGTTATAGCGCTATGCGATACGCTACGCACACCGTTATATATCAGTTTTTACCGTGATATTCGGTTAGGCAACATGTTATATTTTTAGATGCATACAATGAGCGGTTATTGGGCTAACCTCACACGCAGCTGCGGGTTCTCGCAATGCTAAACTCAGTGTTGTGGTCAGCGCACTAGCGATAATGTCAACTCGAACGCCAAAAATTAAAACTGAAGTGGCGATGCTATATAATGATAACACAGAGCGTTAGCCTCCGCTTATTATGTATATCCATATATATATATATAATAAATATAGTATATTATATATGGACATAGTAATACTAATAGTATAGCACTCGTGTGTGTGTGCTGCGTGGCGTTGCGTGCGTGCGGTCGCGGGCGTGCGGAGGCGTTACGTTTGTGTGTGGTGTACTGTATGTATGGGTGGTATGTATCTATGTATGTATGTATGGTATGTATGTATTATTGTGTGTAAGCTATGTAATGTATGTATTATGTATGTATGTATGGTAGTGTATGGTAATGTATGTGATGGTATGTATGTATGTATGTAATGTATGCTATGTATGTATGTATGTATGGCATGCATGTATGTCTGTTGTATGATGTATGTCTGCATGTATGATGTATGTATGGTAATGTATGTATGTATGTATGTATATATGTATGTATGTATGTATGTATCTTATGGTATGGAGTGTAATCTTATATATCTTATATATATATATATATATAGTATGTATAATTATATATTTATACTATAATTTAGTATAATTATATATAATACTATATATACCTATCACGTATATATATATATATATATATATATATATATATATATATTGTAAACCTAGCATCAACGCCGACGACGACGCAGCAGCCGACGACGACGCAGCAGCCGACGACGACGCAGCAGCCGACGACGACGACGCAGCAGCCGACGACGACGCAGCAGCCGACGACGACGCAGCAGCCGACGACGACGCAGCCGACGACGACGCAGCCGCCGACGACGTTACCGCCAGTGCGGGATTGTACGGAGCTGTACGCGCGCGGTGAACGACGTAGCGGCGTCTACGTGGTGATGCCGACAGCAGCGATGCGGTTAGACGTCTACTGCGACATGGACACCGAGCCAGGAGGCTGGACGGTGAGTATCTACATCACTGTACGCGTGCGCACCACTATACATGACATCAGAAATGAATAATTAATATTAGAGACTATACAAATAATAGATTCTATTATTATATTCACTCCTGGTGACATTTAACTATGATGCACGTACAAATGTCTGCGTTCGCCGATGTAAGCCTGTAACTATGAAAGGAAGCCAAGACGCGCAACCACACCAGCGCCGATTTACAGAGAAGAGACTATATGTTTCGCGCATCGATGCAGATGTGCTATAGCGAGCTTATAGTCAGTTACAACGGGAAACAAGTGCGATTTACAATCCTGTGTGGAAAACGTGTACAAACATCACAAATAAGGTTATGCTTGTCCGCTAGGCGGCGTATGACTGCCACAACTATGCTTAGAAACCAAAGATCGTAGAGTGCCGGAGGCCTCTACACTCTACCTACACTGGCCTCCGGCACTCTACGATCTTTGTTAGAAACTATGAAGTGAGAAAACCGCCTGACATTTTGAAATGAGACAATAGAAATGCGCATGCGTCTAGAATGACTATCCCACATTCGCGTCCCTATACAGATGTTAATGTCGAAATATCAGAGGCATTTAACATTGGAATCCCTCCGTGCATTCTATGTATACTAGAAGATGAGTATATACACGTAACCTGTAAATATCAGAGGCATTTAACATTGGAATCCTTCCGTGCATTCTATGTATACTAGAAGATGAGTATATACACGTAACCTGTAAATATCAGAGGCATTTAACATTGGAATCCTTCCGTACATTCTATGTATACTAGAAGATGAGTATATACACGTAACCTGTAAATATCAGAGGCATTTAACATTGGAACCCTTCCGTACATTCTATGTATACTAGAAGATGAGTATATACACGTAACCTGTAAATATCAGAGGCATTTAACATTGGAATCCTTCCGTACATTCTATGTATACTAGAAGATGAGTATATA